TCAGGATATTTTCAGTTTTTCTTCCTGTTGTCAATGCATATAGACTGATTGCCTGTGCTCATAAATCTTCTTCTTGGGTCAGCCTGCTCTTTGTGATAACATCACCCCTTTCCCGGGGAAATTCAGCAAAATAGACCATTTGTGAGAGTTGGTTGATCCTGAGATTATGACAAAAATAATTTGAGACATGCAGACTTTGGGGACTAGGGATGAGCTAAGGGAGGAAGGTTTTGTCTGAGAAGCCTGGTTAAAGCCGGGCAGCCCAACCATGTGCTTGGGAAAGATATTTTTGCAGTGATACCTTAAAGGGATATTTCACATTTGCACCACAAAAAGGCTTTGTTGTGTTGTGCAGCCACATTTCTTAAATGATATAAAAGGACAGTCCAAAGTCTATAATCTAAAAGGTATAATACTGGTTTTATTGACGTAACCTTAAATGAATAGTTCAACATTTTGGGAAATGGGCTCAACCATCCAGTTAGGATAGCTTAGCACAAACATGGAAACAGGGGGAGCTCAGCTAGCTTATCCAGGTGAACAAAGCAAAGAAGAAAAATCTCAGTAGCTCAGCTGGTATGAAAGAAATCAACAGAAATAAACACCTGAACTAATATGTATCAGCTAAAAGTAACTGATGATAGTAACAAGAATGGATAGCTGAGCTAGCTAAAAATGAATGTTAAAAGCTGGAATAGATACAGCAGCTAAAAGTAATGGATAATGGTTGGAATAGGTCAGTAAAGGATAAAGTGTTGGAACTATAAGAATAGAAGCAGTGGATAGATGGTTAAAATACAGTAGCTATCTAAATAAATAGATACACAGTTGAAATAGACCTACTGTAGTTAGCTAAAGGCAATCAATGAATGGTTGACACAGCCTATAGCTAGTCATAAGTGATGAAAGAATTAAAATAGACAAGCAAAACTTTTCACCCTGCAGTTTCTGTTACATATGCAGACAAAGGAATCATGCACCTCAAGGTGTCAAAGTACATAGGCTACTGTACAAACCACCTGTTTACCCACCCCTAGTTCAGCTGCCCATATGCCTTATGGCGATGTTACTGTGTGTTTGTTTATGTTCAACAGGATCATCCTTATGCCTACTGTCCACTGAGTTCACATGTCATTTGAGCCATTTATATGCCTTTTCCTACTATATTATTCATCACTGAAGTGAGCGTCTATAGCAGATCTAGGCTGAGTCACTTGGTGTGTGTGTGTGTGTGTGGAGCCACAACATGACTCACTCAGTGCTTTTAGACAGATGAGGACAGTGGTCTCACAGATGTTTTATACAAGAAAAATAGCCACTTAGATTAAATTACGTGATGAAAAACATTCCTCTCTCTTTCCTCATTCCCTCTCTCTGCTGTTCTCTTTCACCTTTCCCTTCTTCTGGTCTTCTCTCTCCTTCTCTCCTTTTTCTTTATAGTGACACACACACACACACACACGTCCTAACTCAATGAGCTACAAATGGAGCTATCTTCACACCCTGAGGCAGACATATGTCAAAGAAACAGGAGAAACACACACTTGGATACATACAGTACATTTCAGCTTGAGGAATACCTCATCGGTTTCCCTCTCAGTGATTGGTGAAATGCTTAGCATAACCTTTTTCTGATGCAATCCAACACGCTCCTCCTTCTGCTGACTGGACATTATAAACCTGATATCTGTGTGCATTTGTCTTCCTTCATCCTTTACACAGTCAGTGCAGAAGAGGGTTTTGACACACTCTGTGTGGTTGTTAAGTGTCCATCAGTGGTTCAGTTGTGGTGTTTCACATATCAATTAAGACCCACTGAGCAGATCAGACTAAGAGAGGGGTCAAAAGATAAAAAAAAAATAAAAACCATGTCCTCAGATGAACAAGGTAAGGCCTTAAATCAGTGTGATGGAATTTACTTTGGTTGAATCCAGCTCAAATTGCAGCTCAAATCATTTTATTTATCTGCAGTCTTAAAGAAACGGTGAGACATTTTGGAAAATATGCTAAGCTGCTTTCTGGTGAATATTGATATCACAAACAAAAAACAAAGAAACATTTAATTGGTTTTTGGAGGGTTTCGTGTCAGGGTACTTCTTGGTCAGGCACAGTAACTTTATGGAGTCTCCACTGGTTGCCTGGCAACTGCTCAAAGCCAAAACATTTGTCTGGTAAATAACACCCTGTAAAACAACAAATTTCCATCTTCACACTTTGGTTTTTGCGCGGATTAAACAAATGAGATGAAATGTGTTAATAGTAAGCTCTAGACATGCTGATAGGAAGTTTTTTGTTAGCTGTTTCCTTTTGTTTCTGGCTGCTGTAGCTTTGTATATCATGGACAGACATGAAAATGATCTCAGTATCCTCATCTAACTGTTTACCGTGAAGTTCCCAAAATGTTTACCCATCACTTTAAACATTAGCACAGTAGAAATTTTCTCTGTTTGTTGTGTAAATTGTTGTTTAGCAGTGAAGTTTTGGTTTAAAAAAGTCTCAACATAATCATTAATTTTAGTCTTCTTAACTGCACATAAGCAGAAAAACGGCAGCTTCTCTGATTATGTTTGCACCAATTCCTACATGTTCTGAGGCTTTAGGCTTGAGATAAACAAGAGTTCATTTCACAACAGATGGATCTTTGTGTTGTTAAACAAAGGTGTAGAAACTGCCACAATAAGCTGTCATGTATGGCATCACACTGTTGAGCTAACCATATGTTTGATCCAGAGAGATGATGTGGATTGAAAACGTGTCAGGCCACATATCTGGGTAAGATAATATCAGCATGTATAATTACTGATAGCCCAGTGATCACCCTCTGTCTGGTTAAATCCGATTAGCATCGACCAGGCTGTAAACTGCCCTAATCCACTGTTAACAGAGGGATGGATGTAGGAAGGGACAGAGCCAAGACAGAGGGTGAAAAGAAAAGGAATGAGAAAAGAGCAATAAAGGCAAGAATAGAGAGCAGAGGTATGACATGGATAGAAAAAGAGCATAAGGAAGGAAGAGGAGGAACAGTCACAGGAAAAGAGGTGAAAAAAGACAAGCAAAAACATCCCCATCAGAGCAGGTCTGGAGAAAAACAAGAACAAACCATAAAACTAATCTATACTCCTTCAAAATTTGATTTTCATTTTTTCATATCCCTTTAATTTTTTAAATATTTGTTTTGCAAAGTTGTGTTGTCTTTAGTTGTGGTGTATTGTACATTTGGTAAAGCAGAGCGTATAATGTATGTAGTTTTGCTACATGTTTCATGTGAACACAAGGTATCTCCTAAATGAGTTAAGAATAAGAAAAATAACCCTGTTTTCAGAGAGGCAGATTGGGTAAAAGAGAGAGGAGCAACAGAGATTGCCAGTGAAAAGAGGTTGAGGGAGACAGAGTGAATGAAATAAATGCAATTTCCATGATCAGTTTAACTGAGAGACCACCATTAGCATCCCTCTGTCTCTAACATTTCTCTCTGTGTGTGTGTGTGTGTGTGTGAGTGAGTGTATTGTGAACATACAGTGATCCACACAAAAGCTCACATGCAGATACTTGTGATAACAACCCGTGTGTATTTCTCACACTGGGTAAAAAAAAATCAATGCACTTACACATATAATATTACCACACAGTGTGTGTGTGTGTGTTTTCCAGTTATTTTCATTTCAGTACTGGATATATCACAGTATGTGTGAATGCTGTCCATGCCTCTGTATAATCACCAAAGTACAGATTTCCATGTAATTTACTGACAAAGCTAAAGTGGCCCCACTCATAGGCCATAAATGCATTAACAGTCCTATATGCATTAACAGGCAGTGCCTTGTGCAAACAGAACCACAACAGCAATCATGAGTCCATGTACTCATGATGAGCCTGTAGTTGCTCTTTGATTTCATAAACTTTTAAAAGGATGAGCAGTAGTGGGAAGTAACCAAGTATAGAAAATTACTGTACTTAAATACACTCCATTATTACTCCATTATTTAAGAGTTTTGCTTACTAGTTACGCTTCCAAGATATGCCAAGGAATATATGTACACACTGTATGGGCTTTGTCAGAAACCGATGAAAAAGTAATGTCAGAGTCAATTGAAAATCATTTATAAAACATTAAATATATTGACTCTATGCTCCAAGGCTTGCTAAGGCACTGCTTGGCAGGGTGCACACTGAAGTCAACAGAAAAAGCTCTTACTGCTGCTCCTAAGACAAGATTTGCAGCCAAGGGTGGTTAAGATGCATTTACTATCATGGCTCCTGAACTGTGCATCCGGGCCAAAAAAGCTGCAAAAAAGACCAAAAACATAGAAGCCCTTTAAGAGAGAAAAACTGATATTTGAAAACATCTGTGAATACCCTCCAACTGCCCCCACTGCAACAGGTATCAGTGTTGAAAAGTAACTAAGTACATCAATTACAGGTTAAGTACAATTTTGAAGAATCAGTAATGAACTTTTATCTTTATTTTCTGCTACTTCATGCTTTGACTTCACTACATTTTAGAGGCAAATGTACTTTTACTCCACTAGATTTGATAACTTTAGTTACTTTTCAGATTAATTAACCAAATATGCCATAATCAAGACTTTATTGATCTTCAACGAAAAATTCACAAGATACCCAGCAGTAACGCAGCTTATAAGCATGTAGTTAAAATGAGCTCTACCTTTACAAGCTGCAACATTAAATTTGACATACAAAAATGCATCAATATAATCTAATAATAGGATTTAGATTAATGTGAAATGCTATTGAGTCCAAAGTTGCCATTGCTCTAAAGTTGATTACACCTGCTGGAGGCCTAACACCACCTGAATGTAACATGACGTTTCCAGGCCGCCCGGGGGCGCTGTGATTTCTGCAGCAACACGTTGACCTTCCTTAGCGGTACACCAGCAACCGTTTCCGGGTTCATGCTGACACGCAAGAGGTTTGAGATTAATCTATGAAATCATAATTTTTGTTTAGAACTGTGTTCCTCCGTTGAAGGGAGATATTCTACGTGTATTTTTGTAGGACACTGCTCTTGCTCAAGCCGCTCTTGGTTCAGTGCTTCGTGTTAGCTGAACATGTCTGCCGAGGAAGCGGACAAAACAACCACTACTGATGCCAGCGCTGGAGATGAAGAGGAGGAATGGCTGTATGGAGGTAAGAAAAAAAAAAACAGCTAAACCCACAAACACGATTTTTGCCCGACACAGGCGAGATTTCCCGTGTCAGCTGCTCTCCCAATGAACTGCTAATCAACAACATTGTCTGCTACTATGAGAAGATGAGAGCGTTAGCATTGGAGCTAACGTTAAGCTAGCAGCGCCCGAGTGGCTTGCTTTTGTTTTTTTCTGTCAGCGTTATTTGGCTCACAGAATGTGTTAGGGTGATTTTCATTTTTAGATAGAAATGAATATAATTAATAATGTTTCTGTGATTATGACATAGTTAGTACCCAGGCTAAAAAATATAGGAAATATAATTTCTATCGCTTACTGGAAAATGTTAGTGTTAATTAAACATTAAAAGTTAATGGCCTCTTGTGTTAGGTAGAAGGTTGAAATAGGGGAAACTTAAGTTTTGATTTGTTTTTAGATGAGTCTGAGAGTAAAGACGAAGATGAAGAAGCCAAACTGAATGCTGCAGTCAGGTAAATAACATCTAGGCGGACCCCTATCTACACCTTTACACATTGTAAGATATTTAGACATTTCAGAAGGTTTTACAAAAACACGTTCACATCAAAAGAAGGAGACAGACAAATACCAAATATTAAACAATAAAGTCTTTTTGTAAGCATTCACATCTTATGTATAATGAACCTTAGACTAATGTGCATTGTATTTCAGTATATTGTGACAAACATAAGAATCTAACATGCAGATTTTGATTGTCAACATTTTGTACACATTGCTTATATGTTTCTCGAACACTGATCAAATATAAAAGTCAGTGGATCTCTGGAGACCCAGATTTTGATGTGGCTACATCATGTAAATCAGTTCATTGCTGTTTTTGCAGAAAATTCAGTTCTTTCCTGCTTTTTTTATTTATTCTGAGACAAAGGTTTTGTTTGCTATTTGTCTAAACTCATTGGCGATGTGTGCTGCCGGAGCTAATGCTTCATTTTATCCACAGTGCATCTGTTGATGCTTCCACAGAGGATGCTGCTGCAAATGCTACAGGAAATGGCGTGGTCCCCGAGGTAGGCTGCTTACACGCACACAGTGTATGTCGTAGAGTGTGTTATATGGCAGTTTTTTGTCTTTGTAAGTACATGTACTTTGCTGCCAGTTTTGAAATGTCATACCTTTAGTAATTATATTCTGCCCCTCTAAGAAATACAGATTTATGATTATCACACTTGCCTTCCCTGCTTTTGGTCTGTCAGGCTACAGATGAAGCCAAGGGTGAGGATGTGGAGAGTGACAGTGACAGTGATGATGATGACGATGATGTCCGTGTCACAATTGGAGACATAAAAACAGGAGCACCACAATACACGTAAGTTGCAGTTAAAGTGTGGCATTTTGCAGATTTGATCACTTATTGGATAGTTTAATGCAAACAAATTGCACACTTACATTTTCACACTATGGTTCTAACCCAACATTTCCTACCATGAAACATGACTACAACGGCAATATTAACTTGATCTCAGTTTATCATGTATGAAATAATTTTGGTTCTGTGACACACACACACCTGGAGATTGTCTTATCCATTTAAAAGATGGATGTTGAAGTCTTTGTGTGCAGCATGTTAAACTAAAGCCCTTTTCAGACATGGGAAATGTAACATTGCTGGCTTCGTCCATCTGTTAAATCCATGGCTTTCTGTCATTTAGACATGACTGTTCCTTGTGGCATCATTTGGGCATACCCACAACCATGACAGAAAGGGCCATGGTACACTAGCCATATTTGCACTATGTGTGAGACTGTTGGAGTGTTGCATATTCGTTGATGTTGCTGCACGCAGTTCAGAGTTGTGCTGTGTTGAACGTGATCCATAAATGTTATTAGGTCCAACCTAGTAAAACTGCCATCACAACCTTTACGCAAAATTGACCAGGATGCTCATTCAGACATGAAGCCAACACAATCAGATGATGTTAGATTAATGGAAAGGAGTGCATGTCTGAAAGGGACTTAAATATCTTCTGAACACAAACTGGCATTAATCTGTAAATCTCAACATAAAGACGACAGGCTCCAGACCTTATGGGCAAGGTATCACAGGTTTTTTCCCCAGAATGATTTGACTTTCAAAAAGGTTTTTCTGTCCTGCAATATTCTGCATTGTTTTGTTTAAAACATTCAGAACATAAATATTATACACAGAGAGTAGTAAGTAGTTTAAACAGTATTTGTGTGACCTATATGCCGAGCAATGTGTTGTGTTTATTTTTTTGGTAGCTACAAAGCTGAAGGGGGTGGATCTAGATACTCCTGGAAACATTAATGGGGTTCCAGTGATGGAGGTGGATATGGAGTCCTTTGAAGAGAAACCCTGGAGGAAGCCAGGTCTGTGGATGTTTGGCTAATTTTAAAAAAGCTTCACTATTTCTTTGCAGCTATGTGTATTTGTAGGATGTTTGGTGATATTGACAAAGACAAGTCATGTACAGTATTTAACAAGTTGTGTGTGTATGTGCAGGAGCGGATCTGTCAGACTACTTTAACTACGGCTTCAATGAAGATACATGGAAGGCTTACTGTGAAAAACAGAAGAGGCTGCGTATGGGTCTGGAGGTTTCTACAGTCGGCTCAGTGACAAGCAAGATCACCGTAAGACACCACTGCTCACTCTGTCCATGTTTGTTTCTTTACTTGAACTCCCTCTGCATCTACCACCTGTGTTTCCACATTGCTTTGACGAGACTGCCGCCATTATAAATGAGACAAAAAAAACATGTTTGACTAGATCTACTCTAAATTCAAGAACTGTGTCTATGATTAACACATGAAATGTATCAGTAAACTTATTTTGGCTCTTTCTTAGGTTCAACAGGGCAGGACAGGTAACGAGAAGGACATCTCCATTTTGCCAGTTCACACGTCAAAGCCCGAGTTCACATCTCCTGTTAGCCTGTACAAGTCTGTCATCAGTCAGGTCACCAGGTAACACTTGTGTTTCCTTCAGTAGGATATCTAGGAATGAAACACAGTGGGTACGGAAAGTATTCAGACCCCCTTAAATTTTTCACTCTTTGTTATATTGCAGCCATATGCTAAAATCATTTAAGTTCATTTTTTTCCTCATTAATGTACACACAGCACCCCATATTGACAGAAAAACACAGAATTTTTGACATTTTTGCAGATTTATTAAAAAAGAAAAACTGAAATATCACATGGTCATAAGTATTCAGACCCTTTGCTGTGACACTCATATATTTAACTTAGGCTCTGTCCATTTCATCTGATCATCCCTGAGATGGTTCTACACCTTCATTTGAGTCCAACTGTGTTTGATTATACTGATTGGACGTGATTAGGAAAGCCACACACCTGTCTACATAAGACCCTACAGCTCACAGTGCATGTCAGAGCAAATGAGAATCATGAGGTCAAAGGAACTGCCTGAAGAGCTCAGAGACAGAATTGTGGCAAGGCACAGATCTGGCCAAGGTTACAAAAAAAAATTTCTGCTGCACTTAAGGTTCCTAAGAGCACAGTGGCCTCCATAATCCTTAAATGGAAGACGTTTGGGACGACCACAGCCCTTCCTAGAGCTGGCCGTCCGG